AGAGACAGAGCCTAGCCATATAGCCTAGGCTGACCTTGAACTTGAGCTGAAGTTGGCATCAAACTTGTAATCCTGCCTCCACCTCTTTTTAAAAAAATTTTTTTATGGCTTTGGGGATTTAGCTCAGTGGTAGAGCACTTACCTAGCAAGCACAAGGCCCTGGGTTCTGTCCTCAGCTCAAAAAAAAAATTTTTTTTAGCCAGGCAAGGAGGCAAACACCTTTAATTCCAGCACTTGAGAGGTAGAGGAAGGTGGATCTCTGTGAGTTCAAGGCCAGCCTGGTCTACGTAGTGAGTACCAAGCCAGGGGAGGCCCTGCCTCCAAAAGACAAAATAAACAAACTCCTCCCCTGCAAATTTGTTACTGTGTATGTGTGTATATGATATAGGGGGGGCACATGTACATGTCATAATGCATGTATGTATGTATGTCAAAGGACAACTCTGTGGAGTTAGTGCTCTCCTTCCTCCTTTATGTGGGTTCTGGGGATCAAATTCAGGCCCTTAGGTTTGCATGGTCCCTGCCTCAGCCTCTTGAGCTGGTATTAGAGGCTTGTTCTACCATGCCTAGCAAATGTTTTCTCCATATTTTTTTATTTTTGCATTTTCAAGTAAACATCAGAAACTTAATTGCTCAGTGACCAGTAAGCAGACTGATGCAATTTATAGCAACTGATTTGATTTTTCTCCCATCAAATTGACAGGAGAATCACTTCAAATTCCAGACCAGCCTTGTCTACATAGTGAGTTCCAAGCCAGGCAGGGCTACCATGGTGAGACTCTGTCTAAAAAAATTTAAAAAAAAAAACCTGTGATTTAAAGACCAACCTGGTCTACATAGTGAGTTCCAGGCCTGCTGGGGCTACAGGGAGACCCTGTCTCAAAAAGACCAAAAAAAAGTGGGTCCTGGGAAAATGGTTCAGTGGTTAAGAGCACCTGCTGCTCTTGTAGAGGACCCAAGTTCAATTCCCAGCACTCATACAGCAGTTCACAACCATTTGTGACTCTGGTTCCAAGGCATCCAATGCCTTCTTCTGACTCTAAGGGCATTAGGCATGCATGTAGTGCACTTACATAATGATGGCAAAAAACACATATACATAGAAATTGAAAGAAATTAAAATTAATGTCTGGTGTTGGCAAGGCTGCACAGCCACACTTGAAGGAGACATGGGGGAGGGGACTGGTAATGTTCTATTCCTTCTCTGGGTGTTGGTTACACATACAGTTTATGAAAATTCTATAAGCTTATGTACAATTTCCTGTATGTGTAACATATTTCGATAAGGTCTTGTGTATTAAAAGAAATTTTTTTTGTCTTTTCTGGGACAGGGTCTCTCTGTAGCCCTAGCTGGCCTGGAACTCACTTTGTAGACCAGGCTGGCTTCCAACTCACAGAGATCCCCCTGCCTCTGCCTCCTGAGTGCTGGGATTAAAGGCGTGTGCCACCATGCCTGGCCTTAAAATTTTTTAATATATTTTTATTTTATGTGTATGAACGTTTTGACAGTATGGAAGTGCACCCATGTGTGTAATGCCAATGGAGGCTAGAGAAGGAAATCAGATCCCCTGGAACTGGAGTTACAGACAGTTGTTAGCCACCCTGTGGGTGCTGGGAACCAAACCCAGGCCCTCTGCAAGAGCAGCCTGTGCGCTTAACCCCTGAACCATCTCTCCATTCTCAGTCTTGTGTAATTTTATTAATTTATTCTTAGGGTTTTGTGCCTGTGCATGTTTTTATGTGTGCACATGTATTTGTGCATGTAGAGGCCAGAAGTTGACATTCAGGCGTCCTCCTCAATTGCTCTCCACTTTTGTTTTGTTTCGTTTTGACGAGTCTCTCACTGAGCTCAGAACTCACAGATTAGCTAGAGAGCCTGGCCATCAAGCTTTGGGAATCTGCCAGTCTCTACCCACATCCTCATCCCAAGTTTTTAAAAGGGCCTTGGGGATCTGAACTCCGGTCCGAACTTTTGCTCTGCCGACGCTTTACCGATTGAGCCATTTCTTCTGACTTTGTATGGATGTGTGTATGTGTGCTTGTGCCACATCAGGTATGTTAAGACTGTCAGAGGTCTTTCGGGAGTGTCTCTCCTTTTACCTTTACGTGGGTTCCACTGATCACACTCAGATGGACAAGCTTGCTCAGCCATCACTTTACCCTCTGAGGGAATCTTAGAGGCCCTGTTTTTAGGATTTGGGGACAGAATATCACTCTGTAGTTCAGACTGGCCTTGGACTTGATCCTCTTACGTCAGCCTCCCAAATGCTGGAATTAGAGGTGTGTGCCACCATGCTCGGCATTCAGTAAGACTTTAAAAACCTGTTTTTAGCTGGGCGTGGTGGCGCACGCCTTTAATCCCAGCACTTGGGAGGCAGAGGCAGACGGATCGCCGAGTTCTGGGGCCAACCTGGTCTACATAGTGAGTTCCAGGACAGGTGGGACTACAGGACATAAATAAATAAATAAAAATAAAAACTTGTCTTTTACCGTAGTTCACAGCTGTGCATGATCGTATTGCTGAGGGAGGAAAACACAGAACAGATCGGTACAGCCCTGGCTCCTGGGATCCAGCCTCCAAATTAAATAAGCGAACTGACTTCCACGCGGTTTCCTGCTGCCTCCTTCGTCCTCAGCGGAACTGGCGACTGGCGCGGGCCGTTCTTGGAAACGGACCTAGGCGCACAGGACCTGGAGGCAGAGGAGCCAGGGCACCTCCAGCGGCTGCATCCTTCCGCGGAGCGTGCCCCGCCCCCCTAGGTCTCTCCGTCTGAATCACGTGATCGTGGAGTCAGCTGACCTGGGGAGAGCGGAAGCAGACGGTCCGGTATTCTGTCTTTTGGAACGATGGTGAGAGACTAGGGGAGGTGCGGAGCTGGGGTTCCTGGACAGGAAGGCGGGTTCGATGGCCCTGGGAGCGAAGGGGAGAGAATCTGCGCTGGCGCGTGGGAAATCCAGAGTGTGCGGTGGGACGGCCGCGAGTTCCAGAGCGCCGCCCCGCCCCGCTTCCCAGCGTGTTCCAGGCGGTGTTCCCTGGAGGGCGTGAAGGTCCGGCTGCCCTGCAAACCAGTAGTTAACGTGATGTCTTTTGGTGATTGGAGTTAGCTTTCCAGTTCTCGCGCCCATTCATTCAGAAGATCGTTTTACGTGCCCAGCCCGAACGGCTGTTGGAACTACAGCTGCAAAAAAAAAAAAAAAAAAAAAAAAGGGGGGGGGCCAGATTTGAAGAAGGAACGACCGACTAGAGTTTGAAGCAGGAACTGCAGGCATAGTTCATTCCCACGGGCAGAGAATACTGCACTTGTTCCTGGTGTTAGGAGGCGTCCTGAGGACGCGGCTGGGTGACATGCAGTTTATGTGATGGGGTTGGCAGGCAAGGGTGGGGGAAGGGTGTCTTCAGACAGGAAATAGTTGTGCAGTCTGAGTGAAAGAGCCAAGCTCCCGGAGAGTGCATCTTGCCTCACTAGACAAGTGTGATCCAAGCATAGTGAAGATGAGGCGAGACAAGCAGAGACCAAACCCTGTTGGGGATTGGTCGTCATGATCAAGATATGAGCATACCCTCTGGCCACCGAAAGTGCCTTGTTCAAAAGGTCATTGTGGAAGTTGGATCTGGGCTGGGGTTGTTGCTCAGTGGTGGAGCACTTGCCTAGCATGCCTGGGACCCTGAGTTTGACCCCCAGCACCACCACTCTATTGGTAGATCAGGAAGGACTCATCTGCTGAGTTGTCATTTAAGTAGAGCCCTGAATAAAATGGGAGAAATCAAGGTTGGGGCACAGTGGACCCTAGAATGACGGGCTGCCAGTTGATGTTTGTTGAGCAGATAGAGTAGAAGTCAGAACAAGGAGGCAGTATGGGCAGAGAGAGAATTCTCCAGATAGCCTGGTGCTAGGGGAGAACAGGTAGCCAGAGGGCCACCATCCTGGACTCCTATCGTGGCTACACCTCAGCCCTCCCTTGCAGCCTGATTGCCTGCCTCACTCCTTTGCAGAGGTTCCGGTTCTGTGGTGATCTGGACTGTCCTGACTGGGTCCTGGCAGAGATCAGCACACTGGCCAAGATTGTTGAGTGCCCGGGTTTACTTAGGGTTGGAAGGAGAGGGGTTTGGGGCTCCAGGTATAGGGAAAGCGGATTGGGACTGGGAATTGGGGAGGGTGAAGAGGTCACTCTGGGGTTGGGGCCTCAATGTGTCAACCTGTGTTATATGAGGCAGTGTGACCTTGGTCACAATGCTGGCCCTCTCTGAGCCAGTGGCCCAGCAGTGAGAGGTAAGATGGGCCGGTCTAGCTGATACAGGGACATCCCTTCCAGTCTTCTGTGAAGCTGCGGCTGCTGTGTAGCCAGGTGCTAAAGGAGCTTCTGGGACAGGGAATTGATGTAAGTACGGGGCCCAGAACTCCATTGTCCCTTAGGAACCCCCAGAGAGATCGGTTCTGCAACCTCCCACCACCCTTAGACATCCCCCTTTCTCCAGCCCTGGCCCATCCTTACCACAGGATCCAGGTCAGGGTTGAGGGGCTGGTGACAGGGCTCTGGCAACCCCTGAGGACCTTCTTTCCCCATAGTACGAGAAGATTCTGAAGCTCACTGCTGATGCCAAGTTTGGTGAGTGCCCCAGGGTGTGTACTGGGTATCACAGCCTGCCTTGGCCCACCAGCTTCAGGGGAGGAGTTGGGAAGGGAGGAACCACCTTGACAGTCCTGCCCTGTCCTCTTACGGCTCCTGCTGGAACAGTAGCAGTGCCTAGGGCTCAAGGAGACCTGGGACCCAAAGCTGAAGATAGGGCTACAGGGAGGTGACTGGGACCACAGTGACATGCCCCATCTCACCCTAGAGTCTGGAGATGTGAAGGCCACGGTTGCAGTGCTGAGTTTTATCCTCTCCAGTGCAGCAAAGCATAGCGTGGATGGCGAGTCCTTGTCCAGTGAGCTGCAGCAGCTGGGGCTTCCCAGAGGTACGTGAGGTAGACAGGCAGATGGGGTACCTGTGGGGTATACCAAGGAGTGTTGGCCTTGCAGTGTACTCAGTCCTGAGAACTTCCCCCTACGCAGCCCAGTCCCCAGTCACCACCTGCTCCCTCAGCAGAGCCCATTTGCCCACAGAGCACGCCACCAGCCTGTGCCGTTGTTATGAGGAGAAGCAAAGCCCCCTACAGGAGCACCTGCGGGTCTGCAGCCTTCGTGGTAAGTGCAGAGCCAGCCTGGGCCTATCTGGGCAGTATTCTAGAAGGTACCTGCAGCTTACCACGTACAATTACTCAAAGGGAAGCCTTAACCACAGTCACATATGGAGAAGCTTCAGAACTGGGGCCCTGGCCCAGGCAGGGTCTCCTGCCCATAACCTGGGTTTCTTTTCTCTAAGGCCTGTGGTGGACATTTGAGCCATCAACAGTTGAGCACCTGTCCTGAACCAGGCCTGGGTTGGAGGGCTGGAGCTTTATAGGCTGCAGAGCTTTGAAGGGTTGTGGGCTGAGCCCCATTGTGGACTGAGCGGGAGGGCTGCCTGGCTCACCTACTTCAAAGCTGCTGAACTCTGTCTGCAGTGAACAGGCTGGCCAGTGTGGGCTGGAGGGTGGACTACACCCTGAGCTCCAGCCTGCTGCACTCCGTGGAGGAGCCCATGGTGCATCTGCGGCTGGAGGTGGTACCTGCCCAGGGTGCCCTGGCCCAGCCAGTCTCCATGTCCCTCTCAGCAGAGAAGTTCCAGGTCCTCCTGGCAGGTAAGGCTTAGCTGGATCTGCAGGGGTCAGGGGCCTCTCAGGTCTCGCTGGCATGGCTGGCCCCTCCTGTACCCTCTTCTTCCTGCAGAACTGAAGCAGGCCCAGACCCTGATGAGCTCCTTGGGCTGAGGATAGAGGTTTTGCTGCCTCCGTGGAGCTGCCCTGCCTGCACCAAGTCATAGCCATCCATACTTCTCTTGGTGGGTAGACTGGGCTGCCTGGCTTCTACTTGAGACTTCGGTCAAGGGCTCCTAGGGATCTTTCCCAGAATGCTTTCTTTCCCCCGAAAGAAGGCACTTGTCAATCATTTTTACAGGCAAGAATAAACAAATGTTTGGTGTGTGGGTTTTTCCTTTCTTTTTATGTTTTGTTGTTTTGAGATGGGTCCTGAGGCCAGGTTGGCCTCCAACTTGGTATCTAGCTGAGGTTGACTTTGAAAAACAAATTTTTTTTTTGGTCTTTTTGAGACAGGGTCTCTTGTAACCTCAGCTGGCCTGGAACTCACTATGTAGACCAGGCTGGCCTTGAACTCACAGAGATCCGCCTGCCTCTGCCTCCCAAGTGCTGGGACTAAAGGCTTGGCTACCACATCCCGTTTGACCTTAAATTTTTAATCCTCCTGCCTCTGCCTTCAGAGTTCTGAAATTACAGTCATGTACCACCATGTCCTGTTTCTGCAGTGCTGGAAACAAACTCAGGACTTTGTGCATGCTAGGCAAGCACTTTTCCAACCGAGCTACATCCCCAACCCCTGTTGGGTTCCTTTTGTCAGTTCCAGTCATTGGTTTTTTGTAAGAGAAACCAAGTGACCTTCTAACCTCCCTGGCCCATCACTTATTTCTCTCAATGCAGACCAAGAACCAGAACGAACATTGTGTCTATAGATAGGCAAGTCAGTTTGTCTTGTGATCCTCTTGGATCTGCAGTCCTTGCCCTCAAGCTGTTAGCAAGCAAGTGCTACTAATGCCCATGCCAGGTGGAGAAAAGAAAGCTTTTTTCCTTGCTACCATCATCAAGAAGAGTCTAGGCTTGAACCACGCATTGGCAAGGCGATGGGTGTTGCAGACAATGTTCACATTCCCCCACTTTCCTTTACGAATGCACCTAGGAGGGCCATATGAGGCAGTGAATAGGCAGCTGCCTGCAAGGCAGGAAACCTCCTCACCAGGAACCAAGTCTGCTGGCACCTGGATCTTGGACTCTCCAACCTCTAGAATTGAGGAGAGTACCTGTTGATGAGGTCCATGGTGCTTTTTGTAGCAACCTGAGCTCAGCCCTATGATCTGCCAAGTCTAGAGTAGGTCAACCAGCACACCTTCTAGAAAGGTTCACTGCAGAGTGAGCCTGGAGCATCTCCAAGTGTGAGGAAGTTGTCAAAAGGATTCAACCTGTCACCAACCAAAGGTAAACAATTTGAGCATCAAAAAAGATAAAAGACTGAACTGGGTAATTGTAGCTCACATCTATAATACCAGCATTCCGGAGGCTGAGGCAGGTGTATTGTCAAAAGGTCAAGACCAGCCTGGGCTACATAGTTTGTTCCATGCCTACCTGGGCTACAGAGTGAGGCCTTTTCTCAACTACTCACTCCCACAAAAAAAAAGAAAGTCCTTAGATATACTAACCCTCCTGGGACAGCACAGGACCCCACAGCTTCTGTTGTTGCTCTGAGGACAATACATTCTAACTTGGTTTCTCATTTGCTTCTTTTACCAGCCTGACTTGATCCAGGCTTTTTGTTTGTTTGTTTTGTTTCTTTGAGATAGGGTCTTACTCTGCAGCCTAGAGTAACCTGGGGCTCAGTGTGTAGCTCAGGCTTGTCTCATGCATTCATTCCTGCCTCAGCCTCCACAGGTCTGGGATAATAAGGGCGCTCCATTGCACCTAGCATCAGCCTGAGTTTCTTGAAGTTTTTGTTTTGTTTTGTTGTTTGTTTTTGTTGTTTTCAGACAGAGCCTACTGTGTATCCCACTATGTAGACTAGGCTGACCTTGAACTCACAGAGATCCACCTGCCTCTACCTAGTGCTGGGATCAAAGGTGTACACTACCATACCTGGCTTTGTTTTTTCTTTTTTGAGATAGAATCTCATTATATAACCTTGGTCTCCTGGAGTTGGCTATATGGAGAGGCTGGCTTCAAATTTTTTATTCCCTTGCTTCTGGCTCCCACCACTCCCAGCTGCAGTAGTCTTTAAGGTGTTAAATGCAGCTGGGCATATTGGTTCACCCACTCCTGTAATCTCAACACTCAGAAGTGGAGGCAGAAGTTTCAAGGTTACAGAGTCATGCTTGGCTGCACAGCTGGTTCCAGACCAGCCTGAGCTCATGAGACCCTGTCTCAAAAGAGAAAAAAGAGGGGCTGGAGAGATGGCTCAGCATACGTCCTCTTCTGCCCTCCTATGGCACTGAGGGACATGGGTACGGTTACCTACATTCAGGCAATACATTCATACACATAAGAATTAAATAAAGGCCAGGCATGATGGCGCATACCTTTAGTCCCAGCACTCGGGAGGCAGAGGCAGGTGGGTCCCTGTGAGTTCAAGGCCAGCCTGGTCTACATAGTGAGTTCCAGGACAGCTGGGGCTACAGGGAGACCCTGTCTCAAAAAGACAAAAAAAGAAAAGAATATATTTTTTAAAAATCCATGAGTCACCGAGCATGGTGGCACACGCCTTTAATCCTGGCACTCATGATGCAGAGGCAAGCAGATCTCTGTGAGTTCCAGGACAGCTGGAGCTACAGAGAGACCCTGTCTCAAAAAGACAAAAAATAATAATAATAATAAAATACATTTTTTAAAAAATCCATGAGTTGGGATGGGCGTAGTGGCGCACGCCTTTAATCCCGGCACTCATGAGGCAGAGGCAAGCAGATCTCTGTGAGTTCAAGGCCAGCCTGGTCTACATAATTCCAGGACAGCTGTGGCTACAGAGAGAGACCCTGTCTCGAAAAGACAAAAAAATAAAATAAAATAAAATATATTTTTTAAAAAATCCATGAGTCACCAGGCGTGGTGGTGCACGCCTTTAGTCCCAACACTGGGGAGGCAGAGGCAGGCGGATCTCTGTGAGTTCAAGGCCAGCCTGGTCTACATAGTTCAGGTCAGCTAGGACTACAGGGAGACCCTGTCTCAAAAAAGATTAAAAAAGAAAAAAAATCCATGAGTCCATAGACAAAAAACTCTCTCCTAAAGGCAGACCAATCTAATCTGTCTCCTTTGGGTGCCATTATTGCTCCAAAATTATAGTCTGAAAATTGGTAAAGGGAAAGAATTATGTATCCTGGAGCTGGGGCTAAGCTCAGTAGTAGGGTGCTTGTCTGCCCTATATAAAGCCCTAAGTTGTCTTGGTGTTTGTTTATTTGTTTTGAGACAGGGTCTCACTGTCCCTGGCTTGCCTGAAATTCACAAAGAGCCACCTGCCTCTGCATCTGCCTCTCCAGTGCTGGGCCTAAAGGTGTGTTCCACTACACATACCTCAGGAGAAGGCCCTAGGCCTGATCTCCAGTACTGAAAAAAAAGCGGGGGGGGCCTGGTGTCATAGCATACACTTGTAACCCCAGCATTTGAGAGGCTGAAGCAGGAGGTGAGTTCAAGGAAAGCCCTGGGATGCATAGTAAGACCCTATCTCAAAGGAAAAGTTCTAGTCAATAATAGATAACAGCTAGTTATTCACTATGTAAAGATAGAATAGAGCCAGGCATGGTAGTGCACACATGTGATCCCAGTACTTGAGAAATGGAGGCAGAGTATCAGGGGTCCAAGGCCAGCCTTGGCTGTGCAACAAATTCAAGGCTAGCCTGGGATACAGGAGACATTGTAACTACCAGTTAGATACATGGTTGAGAACTGGGCCCTGTGGTATAAACCTAGAATCCCAGTTACTCAGAGGCTGAAGATGGAAGATTTGGAGCAAGTTCATAAGGTCTACCTGGGCATTAGGGATGTAGCTTAGGAGTGTTTGGCCAGAATGCCTTGAAGCTCCAGCACTAAAAAGAAAAGTTCCAAGGAAAATGATTTCCAACCTAACTTCTCTAGCTTTTTAGACAGGCAAGTCGATCATACCTGTAATCCTAGCACTTGAGAGGCTGAAGTAGAAGGAATGCCATGAGTTTGAGGTCGGCCTGTGCTACATAGTGAGTTCAAGGCTAACATGAGCAGCTTAGACTGTCTCTCAAAATAAATGATCTGTTTTAAAGGGCTAGTGATATAGCTTAATAGTAGTTTGCCTAGCATTTGAGAGGGCCTAAGTTCACACCTTCCTACAAATAAGCAAAAATAATTGACTGTAGCAAATCTTCAAGGGTACTTATAAAAAACCTTTATGGCCAGACATGGTGGTGCACGCCTTTAATCCCAGCACTTGGGAGGCAGAGGCAGGCAGACCTTTGTGAGTTTGAGGCCAGCCTGATCTACATAGTGAGTTCAAGGACAGCTGGGACTACAGAAATACCCTGTCTCAAAAAGACAAAAAAAAAAAAACCTTTATGAAATATTGATGTGGGCATCAATGTGGGAGATGGCTCAACAGAGAGGTGTCTGCCACCAAACCTGATGACCAGGCACCCACATGGTGAAAGAAAAAAAGACTCCTGAAAGTTGTCCTCAGACCTTCACACACATGCCATGGCATACACATATACTCACACTAAATAAATACATCTTTAAATGTTGATGTGAAACTGGATATTTGCATGGTACTGAAGAATCAACAACCTACATAAACCCAGATGTCCCTCAACTGGTGAACCATAAACAAAGTGGCTTGTCTATGCACTAGAATAGAACAGCTTCCAGAGGGAGTGAGCTGGTGCCTATAACAGCATGAATGAGTTTCGTGCAGTGTGCTAGGAGAAAAAATATCCTGACTCTGAGGGCTACTCACAAGAACTGGGGGCAGGGTGGATGTTGACTACAAAGGTGCATGGGAAAATTTGGGAGTAGCAGGTTGAAATATACTCTCTAAATTGTACTAAGAACATTTAACATGAACCAGCAAGATGGCTCAGTGGGTAAAAGCCCTTGCTGCACAATTCTTGATCTCTGGAAACCATATAAAAAGTTGCATGTGGTGGCATGCGTCCATAGTCTCAGCACTCCTAGAATGAGGTGGGAGGTGGAGACAAGAGAATTACCTAGAAGTTCTCTGGACAGCTAGTCTGGAGTACCCAGTGCAGCAGCAGAAATGAGACCTTGCTTCAACAAGGTGGAAGGAGAGAAGCAACTCCTGAGCATTGTCCTTTGACGTTCATGTTCAAAGTATGGCACATGTATGCCCACACTCACAATAATAGTAACAATAATAAAAGGACACAATGGGGCTGGAGAGATGGCTCAGCAGTTAAGAGCACTGATTGCTCTTGCAGAGGACCTGGGTTTGATTCCCGGCACCCACATGACGGCTATAAACCATCCTTAACTCCAGTTCCAGGGGAATCCGAAGCCCTCTTCTGACCTCCGTGGCATTGCATGACACAGGTGCACTCACATACATGCAAGAAATACACTCATACACATAAAATAAAAAATAATAAAATGTTTTTTAAAAATAGAAGGACACAACACAAGATCTACCCTCTTTTTAAATTCCTTTGGTTATGTTTTATTTGTTTGAGTGTTTTGCCTATGTAAGTGCACCAAATGCATGCAATGCCCGTGAAGACTGGAAGAAGGCATCGGATTCTTTGGAGCTGAAGTTGTGAATGGTTGTTAGCTGTCATGTGGGTGCTGGGAACTAAACCCTGGTCTTCTCGAAGAACAACCAGTGCTCTTAATAGCTGAGCCATTTCTTCAGCCCCAGATCTACCCTCCTAAAGTTTTGGTGTACAACAGTGTTAACTCCAGATGCAATGTGTACCACAGATCTCTAGAACTTACTCATATTGCACAACTAAAATTATATTCCCACCAACAAGTGACTCCCTCTTTCCCCACCCTCCACCCTGGCCTCTGCAACCTCCATTCTGATGACTGCTTTTATGTGTTTGATTATTTCAGACTCCTCATATAAATGGGATCATGCCCCATTTGTCCTCTGTGACTGGTTCATATCACTTAGTATAATGTTCCACAGACTATGTTGTTGCCTGTGGTAAGCAGTGTATAATAATTGTGTTTATGTTTGACATCTTAAAAAAAAATCTGATGGGCACTGAGGTTGTTTCCTCTTGCTGTTATGAGCATGCTTTTATGGTATTCTCGATTGGGGGGCAATTGCACAATTATATGCATTTGTCAAAACCCACACTCAGCTGGGTGTGGTGGCCTATACCAGAACGCACTGGGGAGGCAGAGACAGGATGATCATAGTAAGCTGGAGGCTAGTTTGAGTTCCAGGCTAATTAGGGCTACATAACTCCCCCACCTAAAAAAAATTCTGACAAATAAATAAATGGATGAGTGAGGAGGGAGCAAAATAGTATGAAGGGTATCATGGCTGTGGTCAGCATCAGTTCCTGCTGCTCAACAAAGTGCAAAACTCTCAACAGTCAGTTTCTCTCTCTCTCTCTCTCTCTCTCTCTCTCTCTCTCATTTTTATTTTTATTTTATGTGAATGAGTGTTTTGCTTGCATGTATATATGTTTGCACCTTGTGTGTGCAATGCCCACAGTCAGAAGAAGACATTGAATCCCTTGGAACTGTAGTTAAGGTGTTACCTGCCATGTGGGTGCAGGGAACAGCACCTGGGTCCTCTGCAAGTGCTCTTAACCCATAAGCCATCTCTCCAAATTTTTTTTAGATTTATTTATTTATTTATTTGTCTTTTTGAGACAGGGTCTCCCTGTAGCCCCAGCTGTCCTGGAACTCACTACGTAGACCAGGCTGGCCTTGAACTCACAGGGATCTGCCTCCCGAGTACTGGGATTAAAGGCGTGCGCCACCACGTCCGGCTATTATTTTATGTGTATTGCCTACATGTGTGTAGATGCACCCATGTCCATGCAATGCCCTTGGAAGTCAGAAGAGGGCCTTGAATCCCCTGGAACTGGAGTTATGGATGTTAGCAGCCTTTTGGATGCTGGGAACTGAAACTGGGTCCTCTGCAAGAGCAGCCAGTGCGCTTAACCACTGAGCCATCTCTCCAGCCCTCTTTATTTCTTTTCTTCCTTTCCTTCCTTCCTTCCTTCCTTCCTTCCTTCCTTCTCTCTCTCCCTCCCTCCCTCCCCCTTCTTTCCTTTCTCTCTCATTTTTTTCTCTCTCTCTCTCTCTCTCTCTCTCTCTCCTTTTGCCTCTATCTCCCAAAGGCAAGGCTTTCTACAGAGGTCTTCTGGGTCACAACCCTAACAATACTTCTCTGTCATCTGTCACTACCTAGTCCCTGCCGCCCTACCCCACTAGCAACCACACAAGCGCCACACAGGGCTCGGGCTTTTGTACTGGTCCTTTGTACCTTCCAGAAAGAAGTGCACACTTTTTGTGCCTGAGGCTGTGACAGCCAGACCAGGCTTTTCTGCCTCTAACTCCACCACGGAGAGACCCTCCTCCACAGCATTGTCTGAAGTGGATTCGGCTTCGGAGCCCTGTGTTTTGTTGCCTAACGCTCTTCCAGCCCCACCGGCAGTCACCGTGTTTTTGTTTATTTGTTACGTTTGACAGTGCACTGACGCGGCCACCTTGGGTCCCCAGGGACTGTGCTTCTCGTGCACCTGTGCATGCCTTGCACACAGCTGCAGGTGGCTCTGCTGTTTCGGCTGGGGGCTGTTGACCCTGGCAAGCCTCGTGACTCCAACTGCAGACACAGCTGCGAATCGGGGCACCAGACCTAACATCCGCTCCTCGCAGAAGTAAAACAAATTCCTCCGCAGCCGTCCGGCCAGGCTCCTGTCTCAAAGCTTGCCCGACACCCTGGATTCCCGCAGTTTAGGAATTCCATCCCGGACTGCGCCGCCCGCCTAAGGACTACACTTCCCAGCAGGCGCCAAGGCGGCAGCCTCAGCGCCCAGCGTGCTCTGAGGCTTGGCCAGTGACTGAGATTAACTCTTTGGTGGCTGCAGCCTGCGGTTGAGCAGCACTGAGAGCAGGTACCGGCCTGGTTGGGGGTGATGCCGGTAGGCAGGGGAGCTGAGGATCTAAAGGGATCTGGGGGCCTGGGGAAGGAAGGGAACCCGAGTTAGCCGTGCACAAGGTCGCTGCACGTGGGGTGAGGGCGGAGAGAGCGCCAAAATAGGGAATCTGGAGGTTTTCCGCAAAATGAACCCTTTTCGGTGCCAGGCCCGCAGGGCGAGATAAAGGCGTCTGCCTTGGTTGCGTGGCCCCTCTTCCCGACACATGCCTTTGCCTTGGATCCCGCAAGTGACAAAGCAGGAGGGGAAGGCGAGGAAGTGAGTTAAAGGTCCTTCGATGCGGCACCAACACGGTCTCTCCAGTTCCCTGGGACTGGAGCCTGGGGCTCGGGGATCCCCGTCCTGGAATCCCTCCTCCCCCTCAGATCTGTGCGAACCTGGCTCCGGCACAAATGGAACTCTCCCTCAGTCTAGTTCAGGTCCCTGCCCAGACCAGGGGAGGAGTGGCCCAGCGTCCGGTTGGCCCCCTTCCCTCCGAAGATGCTGGACAGATTCAGGGCCAGTGTAAACTGTTGATGAATGAGTAGAGCTTCAGCTCCCGGGTGCTAGCAGGTAGAGGCGGGAACAGATGGGGAGAGCCTTTAAACTATGGGCGCCCTGAAGACAAGGTGTAGGTAGGGCACAGAGAAGAGCCTCTCTTAAGCATCCCACTGTGTATGGTGGGCGGACAGCAGGGGCAAAGGTGGAGAGGGGAAGAAGTGCAGTATTCCTTGGAGAGGTGTCTGTGGATGGGGAGGAGGAGCCTGGAAGGACCTAAGATGACAGGCACCAGCAAGGATTCTGACTAAACACAGCGCTGGAAGCCCATGGAATGAATACATTAGTGAGCAAGACAGTCCTGCTGCCTTCCCAGTCTCAGCCTCCCAGTGTCCTGGGCTTGCCCAGCACTTTGGATGGGGCCAGGGACTATGGTTAGGTCAGCATTTTCCTGTCAGTTCCAGCTGGTCATGTCCCCCTGACTTTACCTCTGTAAAACTTTGGTGACAATTCCTACTTAACAAGATTATCATTAAGCACAACCCGTTCTTTTCCTGTTACAGGGTCCAGCCATCCCCTCTGCAAAATGCCTGAGGGTCCCGAGCTGCACCTGGCCAGTGTCTTTGTGAATGAGACATGTAGGGGGCTGGTATTTGGTGGCTGTGTGGAGAAGTCCTCTGTCAGCCGCAACCCTGAGGTGCCCTTTGAGAGCAGTGCCTACCACATCTCAGCCTCAGCCAGAGGCAAGGAGTTACGCCTGACATTGAGTCCCCTGCCTGGTGCCCAGCCCCCTCAGAAACCACTGGCTCTTGTTTTCCGCTTTGGCATGTCTGGTTCCTTCCAGTTGGCATCTGCAGAGGCACTGCCACGCCATGCCCACTTGCGTTTTTACACTGCTCCACCAGCCCCCCGCCTTGCCCTGTGCTTTGTGGATATCCGTCGCTTTGGCCGCTGGGAACCTAGGGGCGAATGGCAGCCAGGTCGTGGACCCTGTGTCCTACTGGAGTATGAACAGTTCAGGTAGGACCAGCACCATGTGTGCTGAGCACCAGCCTGGACTCCAGGCCTGGCTCTGCTGGCACCTTTTTGGCCAACAAGGGGAATCCCAATCCCCCCTCATCTATGGACTGAGACTATCAAGGCAGCCAAGAGCTGTGAGAGGAGAGAGCAGCCCAGAGGTAGGTAGATAGTCAGAGGTCTGAGAACCAGAATTTGTTAGCATCATAGCTAGGCTGTGACCCAGAATCCTACTCTGCCCAAGTCACAAGGAAAGGTGGAGGGTTTTCACAGGACAGATTGCATGGGAGAGAGAAGATGGCCTAGTAACTGAGTTTCTAAGTCAGGCTTTGGTGGTCTTGCACATTCTGCTTGTCCACCAGTCTGTGTCCTGAAGTCTCCTCTGTGTTTGTTCCTTGTTTATAGTAGAAATGACCCACCTGGAACATGATGTGGTCACTGACCTATCTGTACTTTTTCCTTGAAAGAGGCAATGTGTGAGTGTCTGCCCCATGCCAAGCCTTATACGATACAGGATAGTGGTCCCTGTGCTCATTGAGCTGGTGATGTATATAGTAGAGTAGGGGACAGGCATAAGACTTCAAATAGATTGCTGCAAAGGGTGGGGAACCCATTGGGAATAGTCACTCTAGGATGGTGTATTAGTTACTTTTCTGTTGCTATGATAGAGCACCATGACCAAAAGCAACTTACTGAAGAGTTTATTTGGGCTTACAGTTCCAGAGGCATAGAAAGTCTGTCATGGACCAGCATGGTAACACATGCCTTTAATCCCAGCACTCAGGAGTTAGAGACAGACAGATCTCTTTGAGTTTGAGGCCAGCCAGGGCTACACAGTGAGAGCTAGTCTCAAAAAACCAAAACAAATAAACAGAGTCCAACATGGTCGGGAGGCATGGCAGCAAGTGGCAGGCATGGTGGCAGGAGCTGGAAGCAGAGTTCAAGTCTTGAACCATAAACCTGACAGCAAGGAGAGGCGAATTCTCAAAGCCACCCCCAGCAACATACTTTCTCCAGCAAGGCTACACTTCCTAAAGGTTCCATGACCTCCCAAACAGTACCACTGAGGATGAAGTGTTCAAACACTTCAGCCTGTGGGGGACATTCTTTTTCATACCACTACAGGAGGGGATATTTGAGTTGAGGCCTGGCAGATGGAGACCCAGCCAGCTATACAAACCTTGGAGGAAAGCATTCTTGTTAACAAGAATTAAAGAGGTACAAAGCTGGAATGGGCCCAACCATTCTCTCCAGGGTCAGATTTTGTGCCTGTGTAGACTTGGCCACAATCTTTGGCATCATAGCACAGGCAAACCTCTGTCTGTGGTCTTGGGTTGCTACTCCTCACCTTTCCTGGATAGTTGGGCCCCAGGCTAGCTCTGTGTTTCTCTTGATGGACACTGAGGCTATGTAGTCCAGGCAAGCCTACTGCCTTAGCTTGTGATTACAGGCTTGAGCTACATCTGACTCCCAGTTAGTCTTCCATTATCTTTCCACACAGAAACAGGATGCATTTCTTCTCTGTGGGTGAGGAGACCTCCTGGTCCCTAAAGGTGTGCTTACTAGCAAGGACTTGACCTGGCAGGCCTGTTGCAGAGAGCCAGATAATTTTCAGGGCCTTGAGAAGAATGGAAACTACCAGTATCAAATCCACATATTGTACTAACTACCAAAAATCCTAGACTGGGAATTCCAGACTGTGAATACATTTGAGGTCCTATGATCCTCTGGTGTCCTAGAGTACTGAGGAAGGAAGCACTGGTGATAAGCACACACGTACACTCAGGTGTGTTCCCTGAATGTTCTGGGGTGTGTGTGTGTGTGTGTGTGTTTTAGACAGGGTCTCACAATGTAGCCTTGCCTGGCCTAGAATTAGCTACATAGACTAGGCTAGCCTTAAACTTCACTGCAGCCTTCCAACTGCTGAGATTACAGGTGCAAGACACTGTGCCAAGATGAACAGGATTGGTATTCTTTTTTACATTTTACAATAAATGTAATCTCATGTTGTTCCCATTTAACAGGTAGGAAAACTAAGGTTCTAGATGCCCAAATAGTGCCAAGATCCAAAGAAAACTGGGACTCTCTCTTTATAGTCAGGAACCCTTCTTCCCTATCCTAGGGGTGTAGGGATGGGTCTTATGCATCCAAGCTGTGTCCCTCCAGGGAGAATGTGCTACACAACCTCTCGGACAAGGCCTTTGACCAGCCCATCTGTGAGGCCCTCCTAGATCAGAGGTTCTTCAATGGCATTGGCAACTATCTGCGGGCAGAGATCCTGTACCGGTCAGCAGGCAGGCCATGGGTACAATGGCTGAGGTGGGACAGGGTGCCCACATCCACTGCTTAGCTTGGCCTTGCCCACCATTCCAGGCTGAAGATCCCCCCCTTTGAGAAGGCTCGCACAGTCCTGGAGGCCCTGCAGCAGCGCCGGCTGGTGAGAATAGTGTGTGAGCATGTGAGCCAGCAAACAACACTCATGCTGGTGTGGGTGGCAAGGGCATGGAGTCAGGTGTCTCTAGCTTAGCTCATCATGGATGTAGAGGGGGTCTTTAAAAGTCTTGTCAGGCTTAGAGAGGCAGTCTGTGACCTTCTGTGTGGGATGAGGCAAGTGCCCTATACTGACAGTTTGGTCCTGTCTGGCCCTCCTTCAGAGCCCAGAACTGACCCTGAGCCAGAAGATCAAGGCCAAATTGCAGAACCCAGACCTGTTGGAGCTGTGTCATTCAGTGCCTAAGGAAGTGGTTCAGCTGGGTGAGGTCTGGGGAAGCCAAGATGGCCAATGACCTTTGCTTTAGCCTACTGTGTAACCCTGGACAACTATCCTCTGGGCCCTGGGGGCTCGGAGTTTGCTAAACAGACTAAGGTTCTTTGCAAGTTTCTGCTTCTTCCCAGCCCCCAATGCAGCAGGCAGGGCAAGGATTTACCCTTGCTGATGGCAAGGCCACAGCCCAGGAGCTGCCACTCTAGTCACACAGTGGGAGGAGGGAGTATGGCCCCTGACTCAGTTATCAGCTTCTTTAGCTGAGGTCTGAGCCAGGTTGAACCAGGCTCCCTAGTTCCTCCTATGCCAAGCCTGCTCTCTCACTTCCACCTGACTCCTCTGTCCCACAGGGGGCAAAGGCTATGGGCTGGAGCATGGAGAGGAGGACTTTGCTGCCTTTCGAGCCTGGTTGCGGTGCTACGGCATGCCAGGCATGAGGTCCCTGCGTGACCGGCATGGCCGTACCATCTGGTTCCAGGTTTGAGCCTTATTGTCCATACAGGCAAATGGACACCAGGGAAGATGGTGGGGTAGAGTCCTGTGGTCACCCTATGTAGAGATGCCCAGAGTCTGTGGAGGCCAATCAGGGATCACACTGTTTCTGAGGGTCTAGGTCTCCCATGTGATGCTCCTGTCCTTTGAGCCACAGGGTCCAAGCTAGTAGAGCAGCCCAAGGCAACAGCTTTGCTGTGTGTGTGTGTGTGTGTGTGTGTGTGTGTGTGTGTGTGTGGTAGAGTCCTATAGCCTTCATAGGCAGGGAACTACACTGATCTTATTGTTCCAGGGAAAACTTGCCCCTCCCTACTCTAGGCTGACTCCAGAATTGTCTTCATTCCATTTTAGGGTGATCCCGGACCCTTGGCACCCAAAGGTAAGCAACTCCTAATGTGAGGCCAAGAGCTGAAAGAACTATGGACCCAGCAACCTCTACCCACTCCTACCATCCCTCTCCAACCCTGGAATCACCATAGGAATGAGAGTCTAGAGAGAGGGGCCAAAGCCCTGGGGCCCTCCAATCCCAGCACAATGTCCTACAGGGGGCAAGTTCCGAAAAAAGAAGTCCCAGGAGACACATCTGGGGGCTGAGAATGGAATAAAGGTATGGCTGCCAGCTCCTGCCTCCTCTGTACTCATTCATGACTGACTACTCCGTCTAGGCCAGACTCCTGGTCAGCTGCCTTCTCTACCAAGGAGGTGTTGTGTGTGGTTGGGATTGTCAGTGATGGGTCCTAACCAACCTGTGACCTGCCTGGAGCAAAGCCTACTATTAATAAGGACTGCCTCCTCTACCCAGGACGCTTCACCTCCAAGGAAGTCCATTTCCAGGACACTGCGAGTCCAAAAACACTTTCCAAAGAGTACAGCTCAACAGTCTGAGGGAACCAACCTCCAACAATATCCAGAAACACCCACAACCCCGGAGATAAGGAAGAGGAGGGGACGCCAGGAAGCTGCAGGTGGACCTTCCTTAGCATCTTCCTTGGGCTGGGAAAGGGACACCCCAGGGAGGGGCTGTTCAGGGAGAATGAGGTGCAATGCACAGGTGTGAACAGAGGGAGGAAGGCCCAGTACAGGAGCCCAGTCAACAGTCTCACCTGCTCTCCCCACAGGTCACCGCAGATCCCAGAAGAATAAGGCTGATACCTGATCCAAGGAAGCTGGGGTGACTGCAGCCTCTTAGAAGGGCTTGCTTGCTTGCCCCCTTCCTAGCTGCCTTACTGTGAATCTAGGGGCATGTCTGAATCCCTTGAAGGGCTGTATGCCCCAGGCCCTGTGGCTCTTTTCTTATACAACTGCTTTTTGTTTTTTGAGAGGTTTCATGTATCCCAAGTGGCCTTGAATTCATTATGTACGTGAAGATGCCCTTGAACTCCTAGTCTTCCTGGCCCTACCTCTGGAATGCTGGGATTTACAGATGTGAGGCACCACACACTGTTAACTGTGCTTGAATTGTACCCCACCTTCTAAAGCCCATGTGAAAATGTTAGTAAACTAATAAATTTGAACTTCTTGGCACTTTTTGGACTGGCTGCATAAAGTCTGAGATGGCCAGATTGGAAAGGCCTGCTGCCTGGTTCCACCAACTCATAAATTGAACACCCTCTCACCCCTGCCAAGTCCTTAAAGCTCTGGGTGTTAGGGGCTGGAGACAGGGCTCAGCAGTTAAGAACACTCGCTGTTCTTCCAGGGGACCCAGGTTCAATTCCCAGCACCCACATGGCAGCTAACAATTGCCTCTAACTCCATTTCCAGGGGGATCCAACACCCTCTTCTGGCCTCTGTGGGCTTTGCACAACATGGGTGCATTCATATACATGCAGGCAAAATAAAATAAATTTTTTAAAATAAATTTTTTAAAAATCTGTCTGTTAAAGGACAGTTGGCTTCTGTAGGGCTAGCCCCTCAGAGGTGTGTAGATCTGAGCCCAGGCAGCTATGCCATAGCTCTCCCAGTCTAGGAGTCTTTAGAGCCTATGGTTATGCTCCCAGCCTAGCCCTGCCTACAGCTTCTCTCATTTGGTTTAGGGGTATGGAGTGTGTGTAGGGGGTGGCAGCCAGGAGTCTACCCCAGGCCTCCTGTCCAGTCCCTGACTCTACATGCTGACACATGGAGGTGCTTTTTATCTACCTGGACACCTGGCTTGTGGACACCTGAGGTCTCCAGTCTCTCAAGTTGGGGCTGACCCTGCATACACAGGTAACCTTCGATCTTGCCCTCTGGAGAGTGGCTCACTCCTTCTCTTTAGAGCCAGGGGAGTGGCCCTAAGTAGGGCAGCAAGGCACTATCAGCAGGGCTTGCCAATCCAAGCATTTATTGTACAAGAGGCAACTGCTGCTCGCTTCAGGCCAGTGCAGCAGACGTGAGGAATCCCAAAGCCTTCCACAAACAAGACTCAGCTAAGGGGGAGAATGAAGCACAAGCAATAGGGACCTCACTTGGAAAGGAGAAAAGGTGAGCTTCAGGCGGTTGTCCTGAAGGGGCAGGTGACTGGCAGGGTCTCGCTGCTCCAGGAGGTCACAACTGGATGGAGAAAAAGAAAGGCCATAAGGGCCTGGCAAAAATGGGACTCCCACATCTGCCTCCACCTGGAGTCTCTACTCACAGAAAGGCCTCCTGAACTGGCAGTGACGTGTGGAGCCAGCAGTCCACATGGCTGCCATGGGCCTCATATAGCCTCAGGACCAGGATTCGGTGCTGGTGGCTCTTCTCTGCCTGTGAAGGGAGGTGGGGTGGTGGGTGAGACTGAGAGCCTCTCCAGCCCAGGACCCACCTCAGAACATCCTGCCCCTTGCCTGCTTGATAGTCTCCAATACAACTGCTGGTGAGGACAGGGAAAAGGCACTCCAGGTGGTGGCGGGCGCTGGGCCTGGGGCCGGCAGTGCCAGCAGTGGGAAGTTGAGGCTGTAGGCAGCATGGATAACACCAGCTTCTTGGAAGGAGCCTGGGGTATGAGCAGAAGGAATGCATGGTGGGAAAGGCAGAGGTGTGGAGAGCCAGAGGGCGGCCCCATTGTCCCTGGTACTCACCCTTGTGTGGCATCAAGGCGTAGGTGAATTCATGGCATCCCATGTCAGCAGTAGCATCTGGGGCTTTTGGTGCCCGCAGCCTGGAATGGGAGGGATGGTATAGTGGGCTGGACTTGCTTCAGGGAAGACCCACTGCCCAGGCAAGCTGCGGGCCTGGTAGACAATGCACTCACAGCGACAGGCTGAGGACGTTGTCTCTCACTGATGCTCCGTACTTGCAGTTGTTGAGCAGGGCCAGCCCAAAGCCACACTCTGACAGGTCTATCCATCGGTGGGCCCACACCTGAGGGGCAGATCCAAGACCCATGGATGGCTCTTCCCTTCTTTGTGTCTCCCAGTCTCCATTGCTCCTGTCACTAGGGTGACAGCAAGCTCTGGGACCAAATGATTGGATTCTAATTCCCACTCTAGGAAGCCTTGGTCATGCCACCCCACCTCTCTCTGCCTGCTTCCTCATCTGTGAAGTGGGCCATGAGTATCGAACTAAGTACAACATTTAGCAAATGTCTGCCACATGTTAGAAACCACAGGTGTTGGTCATCTTCCTCCCTTGTCTTCAAACCATTAAAAACCCATGTCTCCTTAGTAAGGGAAGAGTCCACTCCCATCCCCATGTCAGACCTCATATCGAGCCCAATCCCAAGAGGTATTGTAGTGGGTGGGCCTATGTAGATGCCCAAACTGGATCTCATAGGTAGCCTGGGGACTCCGCACACGGGCAGGAAATTCCACCTTCAGGAACTTGTGGGCCTCATGCCAGTGCACCTGGGGGTGAGATTGTGGGTGGGGGCAAGGGAAAGGAGGGTAGGCTGGGCGTGGTTCTCCTCAGCATCCATGCCTGGGAAAGATGACTACCACCCTGCCCCTTCTACCTCGGTGTGGAAGCGGACATAGGGGCAGCCAACATCAAGCACAACCTCCTGGCTGAGCCGACTGTTGGGGCTAATCTGCAGTAGGAACCAAGCACTGCCCCGAAGGCCACCTTCAATGCCTATTGCTAGGGTCCCTGTCTGGCCCAGCACAGGCTTCCTGTGGGATAAAGATAGAGGCACTAAGTCAGAGCAGCCTATATTCCCAACCACAACCAACCCCAGGTCCTGCCCAGCTTGTACCGTGTCTCTAGATGGTAGTCCATGACATCCCATGCATCCCAGTACAAGGGCACATCATCAAACAGCACAAACTGGTTCCCCAGAGCACCCTCAGCAATGGCCTCCCTAGAAGGACATAGGGGCTGGTGTTTCACAACTGTATGATCTTGTTCTCTCCAGCTGCACTTGGTAGGGGCAGGTTAAGCAGGACAGGGGACAGGGACAGGGGACTTCTAGCCTTCCCTGCCTTATGTGCCGGTCCCAGGCTAGAGGTACTTGTAGGCTGCTGTGGGCAGCACTATGGCTAGGGAACAGAGGGAGTAAGGCAGTGTCTGGGACTAACTTTCCAGACATGAGGTTAAGAACAGTAAGAAATTGGCACCTGCCAGAAGCCACCAGGATCAGGGATGTAAGGCGGCCAGTAGGATCCAGTCTCACTCGGATGATGCCATTGTCCAGAGTCACAGAACCATCAGTCTCGGGAGGGAAGGTCCTTGAACTGAGTTGGTAGGGTTCTCCACCCCTCAGCCCAACCCTCTTGGAGCTGTGCATTGCCTTGGCCCCTTGCTCCAAGCTAGGAAGCATGCCAGTGAGCCCCCACCCCACTGGTAGCTTCCAGGACTTACCTCCTGTACCACAAACACTGGCTGCTGGGGCAACAGGGGCTGCAGTGAGGTAGGGGCAGGAGCAGGAGCATAGCCAATGCTGGGCACTGTCACCAGGGCTGGGGATGAAGCCAGGACATCAGTGAAGCCTCCCTTACCTTCTAGAAACTTTGTTCAGTTAGGGGTAGGTAGGGTGGGATAGGATGTGGCTTCATCTCTCCAGCTTGGGATTCCCCAAGGCAAAGATCCCCAAGGGAAGTATTCCTGCCATGCTGGCTAGCCTTGGTCCCTCCTACTGCAGGAGCAGCCTTTCCCCTCAGCTCATACCTAGGCTTTGAGCCCCGCTAGGCTTGGGCAGGGCCAACACTTCAGTGCGCTTCCAGGGCAGTGTGTTGACAATGAGGAGGCCCTCAGGACCTGGCTCCCCAGCACACAGGGCTGCAGCTGCAGCACTGAGCAATGTATTGCCATGGGAACGAATGTCTGAGGAGAGAGTGGCTTGGTTATGGTTGGGCTAAGTGGGATAACCCCCAAGTGTCCCACTTCATGCCCATCCATCAGCCTCACCTTCATAGTGGTTCATGGCATCTTCTGCTACTTGCTGGATGCAGCTTCCAGTCACAACATCATGGAACTGGTTCAGAAGCAGAAGCCTATAGACCCAAGGGCAGGGACAAGGGACATGGAAGGCTGGAAGGGGCAATTTAGGGGAGGGTGAGAAGTCAGGCAAGCAGCAGGGCATGAGCACCAGGCTGACCTCCAGAGGTGCTGCAGCTGGGCTGCTGGGTACAGGAACTGGGCACAACGGGCCAGGGCCAGGCTGCTGAGCAGCTCCACATCATGCAGGATCTGCTCACATTCTCGGTTCCCCTTCTTGAGCTGTGCCCAGGGAGGGAGGATCAACCCAGATTCAGCTCAGTGTCTAGGCACACCTTACAAAGCCCTCTCTTGCTCAGAATCCTAACAGCTTCCCAGGGCCTCTTGGACCTGACCTCTACGGGCAACTTGCCTCAAGTGCCCTCCTACCCTAACCTTCTTCCTCTGGGGCAGCTGTCCCACCTCCTGCCTGTGTTCAATGACCCAGTTCCTAAGCCTCTCTTTTCCAAGTCTCTTCTCAAAATAGCAGAGGCTGTTGAGCTCTGACCCTGCTCCCTCCCCAGCCCTCTGCAGACCAAGGCCCTTATCTGCTAGGCCTAGACAGTCTGGCCCTCACCTGGGCATGGGTAGTGTAAGTGCCATTGTGCAGTTCCAGGAAGAGCTCCCCGACCCATGTGCACAGCTGCCCAGAGTCTCTCTCGAGTGCCATGAAGAGCTGTCCTGGAGAAGACAGCTGTACCCTGAGGGAGACCACAAGCCTGGGCTTGTGATTTTGCCCATTCTTCATAGTCCACAGAGAGCCCCAACAGAGAAGCCACTCCAGAAAGCTCTCTGTACACAGTGCCAGATCTGATCTGAACACCCAGCTGCACTCTGGTGGGCTCAAGCCCCTTCCTATCTTCAACATTTCCCACATTTCCTCCTACCCTATCCCCATGGTGGACATTTGGAGGAGTTGAAGGACCAGGACTGGAGAGACACAAGGTCTAGTGGAGGGGTTGAACCCCAGGTATAAACAGAAGGCAGGATCAAGGTATGGGTGGAGGGTGGGACTACACAGAAGTCAAGGGCTTCTGTTGGTTCAAGCCTGACCTGGGGAGCCCATCAGTGTTGCCCAGTCGCTTCAAGCGGTCCAGCATGGTCTGTGTGGGGCCACCACCCCCATCCCCAAAGCCAAAGAGGAAGGCACTGTGGTTGGTCCGCCCCTTGTCCCGGTTGTTGGTCACAGTCTTCAGCACCTGAATGGGTGGTAACAGGTCAGCCTAGGTCAGGCTATCCAACTCTCTGACCTATCACCCTCTGCATATGTCTCCTCACCTCTTCCACACTGCCCTGCATTCCATATGAGTCTCCAGGTGGGAAGTGGACCAGCACCTGGGAACCATCCAGCCCCTCCCAGAAAAAGGTATGGTGCTGTTGGCAGAGACAGGCAGGGGAGAGACCAGAGTCAGACCTGAGGCAGGAAGCCATCCATATCCATGTTAGTGCTGTGATCCAGGCAGATGTCTGCCACATGCTGGGTAGGGTTTTGGTGGTCTGTCCAGGCCCCCTCTAAAGCCTGGAAAGAGGTGAGTGGGCTAAGTGGGATCTAGGATCCTGTGACCCTGATCCCTGAGGCTTGCTTACTGGGAAGGAGTTGACCAAGTTCCAGCTCATTTTCTGTGTCAGGAAGCGCTTGATGCCACAACCACGCATGATCTGGGGGAGCTGTGCTGAGTAGCCAAATGTATCTGGCAGCCAGAACTGTGGGGAGAAAGCTATGGAGCTCCCAGTAGTGCCACCCCATACTCAGCCCTCTGGCACCACGGGCCAAGGCCCAGCACCCTCTCTGTACAATCTGGTGTGGCAGCTTCCAGCCTACCTCAGAGCACATCTTCCCAAACTCCTGCAGGAAGAAGTTCTGGCCTTGCAGGAACTGCCTCACCATGGCTTCTCCACTGGGAAGGTTCCCGTCCTGGCAATGCAGGACAGTGAGGCAGCTGGGGTCACAGTGGAGGCATCAGGAAGGAAATAGGCAGGAGTTTGGATCAGCCTCACTTGCTGTCCCAAAGAATCCAGGGCTGCCTGGACACAGGGTGACAGCCAGGCCCAGAAAGAGTTCCTCTTGCTCACATCAGGCCCAACTATCCACCTGCCTGAGGGTGGAGCTAGGAATGGGACCGTGCAGACTGTCACCCTGCTGGAGACCCACTTCCCCTTGGAGATCCAGGTCCTGGGATTCTAGGACTAAAAAGCCCTGCCACAGAGAGGAAAAGAATGGCTTGGAGGAAAGTTACCAGTATAGCTGATGGATGTAAGGCTATGGCCACAGGGACCATGGCTGAGGTGATAACAAGTGTACTCACCATTTCCACCCAGGTACCCCCCACAGGCACGAACTGCCCACGGCAGGCAAACTCCTGGAGCCGGGCATGCAGGCCAGGGTAGTGGCTCTTCACCCACTCCAGCTGTTGTGCCTGTAGAGCATAGGGAGTGGGAGCTGGGCCAGGAGTGACAAGGACCCCACTCAAGTGGCCCTGTGGGTAACTGAGGGTGAGGAGCACTGTTGGCCCTTAGGCCTGAGAAGCCCCCAGAGCCTAGGAACTCCAGGCCCACCCTGCTCATGCAGTTGCCTTCTGACCTGGGAACAGGCAAAGATGAATTCTGTGTTCTGCTCCATGAGCTTTACTGTTGTTGCCCAGCTCCGGGCACATTTCCGTACAGTCTCCTTGAAGGGCCAAAGCCAAGCTAGAGAGGTAGAAGGCAGTGGAGAGATCAGTGAGGCCCCTGCTCCTTGCAGATTTCCAGCCCTCCTCTGCCTTAGAATCCTTATAGACCCAGCTTGAGCCTCTAGAGGTCAACCTAGCCTTCCTCCCATCCATGTCTTCTACCCTGCAAACCCTGTGATGTCCCTTCTGGGCCCTCTAAGTCACTCCTGCAAAGTTGGGAGGAAGAGGTGAGGGAAGATGGCCACAGCACTGTGAGGTCAACTGTATAGGACAGGACAAAGAGGCACCAGGCCCTGGGAACAGCCTTGCTCTAAGGCTCAGATCCCCAAGAGGCAGATGCACCTGTCTAGGCAAGCTGTCCTGTGGAAGGCACTTCCAGCCTCTCCTGACCTCTAGGCTTCAGGTCCAACTGTACTAGCCCAAGACACTACACAGTGGCTCAGCAGACAGAACCCTTGGTTCCACAATTCAGAAATCTTAACTGTATCAAAATCAATATGGTAGGGAGTTTGTTAAAAATGTGCATTTCAGGGGCTGAAGAGATGGCTCAGCAGTTAAGAGCATTGGCTGCTCTCACAGAGAACCCAGATTTAGTTCAACAGCACCCACTTGGTGGCTAACAACCACCTGTAACTCTGGTTCCAGGGGATCTGACACCCTCTTCTGGTCTCCAACACCCTCTTCTGGTCTCTGTGGGTAATGCATTCATGTGGTTCACTTACATACATGCAGGCAACATACACACACATATATAAAATAAAACATAATAATAAATAAATAATATTTTTTAAAGTGTACATTTCAGAGAGTGGTGGCTCACACCTGAAATCCCAGCATTCAGGAGGCTGAGGCAAGAAAACTGCTATGAATTCAAGATCAGCCACTGCTACATAACAAAGACACAGACACAAACTGACAAAGAAAAGAACTCTCACTGACACTCCAAATTTAGCAGGTTCAAAGCTGAAAACTTAACCTCCTTGGAAACCTGTCCCCTGTGCTTGGGGGGTCCATTTTTCAGCTATTTCCACATTACTCCTCTCGGAGGACATGGACACCCTTGTCAAATTTCCTCATTCTCACTCAATTCAAAAGTCATATTGTCTGGGAAACCTCTCAGGATGCCCTAACATAACTGAGTTAAATACCTTTTCTGGCCCATATGCAACATCACCAAGACTAGCCCCTCTGGATTCATCAACCTCAACAACAAGATTTCTACAACTGTCACAGGGCCTCCTGGGGTGTCAGTTTTTGTTGGAAGGATAAATAAGCCACAACTAGCAAAGCCCACAGTCCAATACTCTGCCCCATTTTATACACGGGGAAAAATAAGGCCTCCAAGAGGGACAAGAAATTTTCAAGGACCATACAGTACTTCTCAGGTACAACTAGTGTTTAAAGCACACTCTGGACTCCCCACCAACCAGCTGTACCCTACCTGTATCAATGTGGCAATGCCCCATGGCATGGATGGTATGTTGGCTTTCACCTCCACGTTGGCCAAAGAACTTAGAGGCCAGGGCCTCGGCTGCTGAGAAGGTCACAGGCTGGGTAGGATCACACACATTCACCATCTGGTTGGCCATATACAGAGCCTGGAAGCTGCGCTGATTGTCCTCCCCGAGGCCCTGCAGCACAGTTCTGTCCTTCAGTCCCCGCTCAAGCATCACCCCAAAAGTGGGCTCAAGATGATTTCCCAAGGATTCTCAACAAAGTCCTTCCAATTCTAACTCTTTTTACTCCTGTTGGTGCCCCAACTTGCTACCATCTGTTTACATAAGGAAATCTCATCCAGTGAGCTGACCCAAGAAATAGTCTGCCTAGAACGGGGCTCTAGAGAGCGATGGGGCTGCAGGGGGCACCAGTACCTTGGCTATGCCCAGCAGCAGCTCCAGGTCCACCAGGAGCCTGTAGACATTGCGGTGGAACACGGCCAGCTCAGCCCGGGTCAGCTGGAACATCTTTTCAGGGTCAGGGGCTGCAATCATGCTTCCCTTCCCAGCCCCCAGGAGCCCGTTGCAGGCCACTTCCACATAGAGGGTCAGGCTATAAACATGGAGAGACAGTCTCAGGCCAAGGACTAGTACAGGATTCTAGGAGCTTGGGAGTAGAGGGCAAGCATGAGTTGTTCAGCTGACTCCTTCCCATTTATCCCAGGGATCCACTACCCAGAGGAACCCATGGCTTGTCAGGTATGTGTGTGTTTAAGAAGATCATGGTAGAAATACCAGTCCAAACCCATGCTCTACTAAGAAGCGTTCAGTCAAGTTTGGAACCCTGCAAACTACATTGTGGTTTAGCTACATATTTTCAAAGCTGTCTGTGCCTCATACTGTTTTAGTCCCAGAGCCCTCTTTGCATACTAAAAGCGTGTTTGGCTATCCCAAGGTTGACTTTCAGTCCCAAGCGCCACCAGACAGCACAGGGTGGTTGGTCCTGGGAGCAGCACCCAGGCAATACAGCATTCTACGTGAGCTCCAAAGGGCAAGCTCAACTTTCCCAGGAAAGCCTTCCTTACTCTTCTCCCAGCGCCTCCTACTCTGGTAGACTCCCAAATGGAGCGCTCACTGTGTTATTCCAGAGCTTTCAGTGGTTTCATAATTCTATGAGTATCTCTGTCTCCCTTGGCTGTCAAAGACACATCACCCATGTTCCTAGCATTTGCAAGTATCTGAAATAGTGCTCAATACAATAAAATACAATAACAGTCTCCAAAAGCTTTTATGATGGTATCATAGACCATCCATATTAGAAAATGTAATATAAAAAATTTCAGATGTAAAATAGCATCTCAACTAGTAAAAAAGAAATATCTCAACTAGTAAAAAAGGAGTTTTTACTGAAAGAAATTGTGGAAACAAATGCTGGGACAATAAGAATAATCATCTTTAGATAGGGTGATAATAAGGAGTCATTTACTTCTGCGTATTATTCTCTATTTACAAAAAGGTAAAGTTTTTTTTGTGTGTGTGTATATGAGCGTTTTGGGTATATCTATACAAGTGTACTAGTGCAGTCATTAGCCACCATGTGGGTGCTGAGAACTGAACCCGCCTGGATCTTCTGGAAGAGCGGCCAGTGCTCTTACCTGCTGAGCCATTATCTCTCCAGGCCCGAAGGTAAATATATTATATTCAGGAAAAAGTCCAGCATCCATAGTCAAACTACGTAAGGATGGATGTGCTGGAAGTGGAGGTACCTCTGCTATCACTCAGGTCTCAGCTTCTCCAGTCAATTAGTCTACTGGGACTCACTCACCTCCGAGGGTCTCCTTCTCCCAGTTTATCAGTCAGAACATAACTGGTCTTTTCACCCTCTTTGGTCAAACCCTGGTAGAAAGAGAAAGAGGACCTGAGGCCTTTGGAAAATTTAAATGAAGTATAAAGTAAAAGGAGGCCAGGTCCTTCTACCATGTTGCCCTAGGTCCTCTCTCAAGGAAGGCCAAGATGAACCAAACAGGTATCCTTGGTAGCAAGTACCCCACCTCTCATGCTAGTCAGTACGATGACCAGCACACAGCACTTGTTTGCAAGCAGATGGTGTTATGGGAAGGGTCTGTGCTACCTAGGCAAGAGTTAGGAGGCCTAAGACTGTCTTCTGGTGGCCCATGAACCCCTGAATAAATGGGAAATACCATAAATGAGCTAGGTATGGCAGTAAAGCTCTAGAATTCCAGCTACCTAGGAGGCCAAGGCAGGAGGCAGAAGGGTTCAAGGCCACCAGCTTGGACAACTTGGCAAGACCCTTCTTCAAATTTAGAAAAAAGGGAAGGGGTTACATCAGTGGTAAGAGAGCATTAGCCTAGTATTTGAGGTCCTGGGTTCAGCTAATTTAAAAAAAAAAAAAGAAGTCCATGGAGTTTGAGACAGATTTGCCTCATTCCCAGTGATTAATAAAATGGGCCCCAGGGGACATCTGCTTAGCCAGTGAACAGAGATAGAGTTAATAGGTTTCTGCCTTTTAAAAAATATATTTTATTTATTATTATTTTATGTGTATGAGTATATTGCCTGCATATATCTAAATGCACCCGTGTCATGCAATGCCTGCGGAGGTCAGAGAGGGCATCAGATCCCCCTGGAACTGGAGTTACAGAAGGTTGTTAGCTACCATGTGGGTGCTGTGAATCAAACCTGGGTCTTCTGCAAGAGCAGCCAATGCTGAGTCATCTCTCCAGCCCCAAGTACTGCTTTTTTTTTTTTTTTTTAAGAAAATTCTTACCCCAGATTGAGAGCTCAATTTGGAACAATTTGGAATGGAAGCTGTGTGAACCAGTGAACAAACCTCTATGTCAATCTCTTAAACTGTAAATAGACATAAAAATCTATCACATAGGATTACAAAGATTAAACAAAACTTCATGACATTTAACACTCAGCAGAGGTTATACATCCGGGGAATGAGATGTGAGGATAAGAGAGCTCCTGGCAAGATACATGAATGCCTTATACAATTCTATAGTGGTTTAAAAGTTTCCCAATAAGTATGTACTATATATAATAAAGGTTTACTGAAAACTAGGGGCTCATTACCCTGGTGCTAAATTAGCAATGTCCTCAGCCCTGAAATTCTAAAATCACTCTGTAGGTACAGCCATAATAAGGACTAAATTGTGGCTGTATCAGGCGCTAGGAGAAGGAACCTCACCTGGACAGGCTCCCCATCACGCCAGACAAGGCCTTCTCCATCACTTTCCCAGCAAAGGTGAACTTCCTGGCCCACCCATGCTTCTGGGATGACCAGCTCTACTCGGAACCAGCAGGTCCACCACCTGCAAGAGAGCTATTGTGATGTATCTAGAAATGGAAACCCTGCCCTGGCATATTTGCTAGGGTTAAGTGTCAGCAGAATCTTTTCTCCAAACCTTTGCAGCATCACAAGGCACTCAGCCCCGAGCCACACCAAAAGAGAAATGGGTGGGTAGTAAAGATGCAGGGGGCAAGGAGGCCCTTCTAAAGAGGAAAAAAGGCAGGAGGGTACGAAAATCCTTGGGTGAACAGAGGGGCTAAGGAGCAGCTCCCAGCAGAGGGCGCTGCTCGGTCTCAGGCAGCAGGCTAGGGCAAAGGACATACGATGTAGGCGTGGCCCTGAGTGACAGATAAGCCTAGAGGGGAGGGGCTTCCCCAGGTTGGGCGTTACTCACGTGGGTCCGAAGCTGTGTCCGACCTGCGTGGGGCTGAAGTTCTGCTGCACTGCCTCCTGATAGGGAAGTCTTTCTGGTGTCAGGAAGCTGGAGAGTGCAGCCACCGGGCAGCTGTCCCCGTAGAGCCTGGGCGGGGGAAAGGAGGAGCCGGTGGGCGGGTGCTGCAGGCCGCCCTTGTCCAGCTGAGAGCCAGCTCCCGGTGGGGAAGCGCTTTCCTTCCGCCTCCGCCTTGAGGGCTGCCTGGCAGCTCCGCAGCACGTACCACCCGCTACCCGCTGCTCTCGGGCCCTGCCCTGTCAGCCGCGGCTCGGGTGGCCGCAACCTGGGTATCCCTCCGGAAGAGAAAGCAGTAACGCGCGGATGGCTTCTGCGGGTTCCCCTGGCCGGGGTTCACACCTGCCGCGGAGGTTACAGTCGGTAAAGTAGATCGGTGACACGAACTTCTCCACCCGCTCCAAAGTGGTGCGCCAGTGCTTCAGGAGCGGCGTTGCCGCCATCGCGGTGCGCCCTCTTCCCTCTCCGAAAGATCCTTGGTACTGCCGGCTCGGCGCACAGCCTGGAACTAAAGGTTCCGGCGTGCTACCGGCGCCTTCCAGACCCGAACAGCTTTTCTTGGAACACCAGCGGCTTTTGGAAGAGGTTGGCTTTGGGGACCCTGGAGGCGAAATGTTGTTTCTCTTTCGCGGCTCTCTTCTCATCTTAGCTGGGAGAGTGGGTAAATTATCCTTAAATAAAATGGCTAAGTTTGAGCCTGGGATGTGGCTCAGTAGATAACGAGTGCTTGCCTACAATGCACGAGGCTCTGGATCGATCCCCGGCACAGCATAAACCTGACGGTGCAAGCCTGTGATCCCAGCCTTTCGTGATGTGGACGCGGGAGTTTAAGTTTTAGGGTATCTTCGGTAACACAGCCAGTAAGAGAAGCCTGGGCTACATGAGAAAAGGGAACTGGCCTCAGAGAAAAGGGGACTGGGGCGGGGGAAGAGTTGGACAAGCCCTGGAAGATCCTGGGACAGACTTAGGGCCGTTTTTCTTTTTTTGCTCAGAAGCAAATGTTCCTTTCCATTTGCTCCACCTACAAGAAAACTGGCACCCGCATTGTGTGAAAAGCCCTAAGCTGCCCTGGGTATTTTCAAACTGATCGATCAGCAAGCGAAGTGTTAATAGGGACAAAGTTTGGTTTTGCATCCTAGTAACCTTCCCTTGCTCTATTACATGCTTTTATATATCACTATTGTTCATCACCAAAATTTCTGGATTTTGATTTGAGACGGCAGATCCACAAGCCCAGGGGAGCTTTGATGCCAAAAGCGGACTTCCAGCTTCATTCCCACCCCTAGTATTCCATTGGCAGTGCTAAAAAAATTTCTTTGTACCTGTAAAATGATTGAATGCCAAATGTGATTTAAATAAAGATAACTTGGGGCTGGAGCGATGGCTCAGCGGTTAAGAGCACTGACTGCTCTTGCAGAGGACCCAGGTTCTATTCCCAGCACCCACATGACGGCTAGGAACCGTCCTTAACTCCAGTTCCAGGGGAATCCGAAGCCCTTTTCTGACCTCCGCGGCATTGCACGACATGGGTGCACTCACATACATGCAGGTAATACACTCATACACATAAAATAAAAATTTAAAAAAAAAGATAACTTTTCGCTGCTTGTGAAAATCTGACTACAGGTTCCCTGTTTTATTGGTCATATTGGGATGAACTGGCTTTGAAATCCTATCCTGACCAGCAGAGAGGTGCTGTAGCTATAAAACTAGCTGCTGGGTAGCAACAGCTGAGGCTCTGATCAAACCCCCGTTTCTCCCATTGTTCTAGACCAACATGATCCTGAAGGAGCAGACGGGATAGGTGAATTATGGCTGAGAAAAAGCCAGGATCTCACCCACCCCCATCATCCTTCCAACTTGGGCACTGCTCCAGCTTTGCTCTCCTTTCCCACCAGGCTCTTTTTTGCTATCCTTAAAGAGTGTCTTGCCTTCCTGCCAATAAAAAACATCCTAAACACGGGACATGGTGACATACACCTGTGCTCTAAGCACATGGGAGTCTGAGGAGTCATCACAAGGTCGAAGCAGCCTGGGCTATATACGGCAAAACCCTATGTCAGTTAAGAAGGCTTGCCTTAGGTTTTGAAAATCCAGGAGTCATTTTCTTTCCCCTTTATGGTAGTACTAGGGTGTAGTTCAAAAAAAAATTATATATATATGTATATATATATATTTTTTTTTATGGTCTTTTTGCAAGACAGGATCTCCTGTAGCTCCAGCTGGCCTTGAACTCACAGAAATCTGCCTGCCTCTGCCTCCCAAGTGCTAGGACTAAAGGTGTGGGCCACCACTCCCAGCTTTACAGTATCTTTTTATTCTTTTTATGTGTATGAGTGTAGTGCCTGCATGTGTATAAGTGCACCTGTGTTATGCAATGCCCTCAGAGGTCAGTAGAGGGTGGAGGATCCCCTGGAACTGGAGTTAGGACATTGAACCTGGGTCCTCTGCAAGAGCAGTCAGTGCTCTTCACCACTGGGCCAACTCTCCAGCTCAGGTGTTTGTTTTTTTTTTTTTTAATTATTACATTTTGTCTGTGTATGGGGGGTATACATGGAGGTCAGAGTTCATGCTGGACTTAGTTCTTTGCTACCAGGTGGGGCCTGGGGCTGGAACTCAGGTCATCAGGCTTGGTAGCAAGCACTTTTATCTGCTGATCCACTTCACTGGCCCAGTTAGTAATTTTTAATAAAAAAGTAAACAAGATCCCCAATTACAACTATGACTAGAGTGATAGCTGCTGAGGAAAATTCCAGAGTATGATGAAGACTAGTTTGTTCTTATATAGAAAGTCCATGCCAACTACATAAGAAAAATCCTCACTGTTCACATTCAAATGTAACAAAAGGAGGTGGGGACTAGTGAGATGGCTCAGAGGGTAAAAAGAACTAGTCACCAAACCTGACAACCTGAGTTCAAGCCCTGAAACTTACATGGTGGAAAAAAGTGACTCCCAATTTGTCCTGACTTCTAATAACTGTGTGCCTTGGTGCATGCACAAGCACATAATAAAATAAATAAATAAATAAATAAATAAATGTGTCCCATTTGCTGTTGTCAAATCCTCTCCCTCTCACTTATATATGATATGATATGATATACATATATATATATATATACACACACACACACAAAATACATCTTTAAAATAACATTTTGGTACCTAAAGTTCAACACTCATTGCTAATAAAGGATAAGAGAAAATTTTAATTTGAGATTATGTGTATGGGGGTAGGCAGGTAGGTAGGTGAGTGCCACAGGGCATGTGTGGAGATTAGAGGGTAATTTTGGGGCATCAGTTCTGTCCTTTCACCATGGGTTCTTGGGATCAAACTCAGGTTGTCAGGCTTGTGTGGCAAGCACTTTCTGCGGAGACATCCTCCTGGCCCAAATTTTGAGATATATTGATTTGACAAGTACAAGCACCTGCTTACTTGAAGTGAACTCCTACTCATAACCTGGATAAGGAACTAAAGCCAGATCCCTACTTTATAGTAGCGCTCTGGTGAGGACAAGGGACTTGGGTTGAGAGTTTATTTCCTTAAGAACCAAGCTTTATTTACAAAAAAAAAAAAAAAAAAAAAGTTGGGGTGAAGGGGAAGACAAGTTTTACACAAAAGTACTACAATGGTATCTCCCTTTGGTAAAAAGTGTAATAAATGTCTTGTACATCTGTTTGTAGGTACTAAATCTGAAGCCACATAGTACTATGGTACACAAGAAGCTAGAGCGGTTATGCTAGCACATCAAAGCATATTTCTTTTAATAAAAAATTGACAGTATGTACATTATTTACAAAAAAAAAACCCCAAGTTAAAATTGTGTGTGTGTGTGCACATGTGTGTCAGAATAAAGCTGGTGGATGGCACTAGGGTAGACTAGGAAAGAAGCAGGTACAAAACAGTTCCACGGGAGCGAAAAAGGATGACTGATTTGAACTTGTTGAGGCTGAGAGCCAGAACAGGTAGAAAGGGTAGGCAGCAAGGAACATCAGAAATCAAATCCACAAAATGGTCAATCCCAAAGCCAAACTGCAGGTCTCAGATAAAAATCTAACAAGGGATCTTAGATGTGCTCAAGTGACCAGAAAAGGGGGAGATCAAATCCAGTCTTTTTTTCCTTTTTGTGGGAGAAAAGGAGCAATGACTTATCAGTCACAATGCATCTGATCTTGAAGTCCTTCGCAGTCTGTTTTGTAAATGCACCTCCATCCAGTCAAAGGGTCAAAGGGTGAACAGCATCTGGTTGCTCATCTAAGGTCAGGTCATAGAGGAGATTCTAGTTTTAGCTCTGCTGGTGTGTGCAAGCAAGCTGCCTGTCTCTGTGCTTGCATGGACTTCATTCCCTTGCTGGGCAGGCTAGTACCCTTGGGAAAAGTGCCGGCTCCAGCTTTGTAAGGTATCCGTATTCCTTGTGTATCCAGCTTGGTGCCAGGTTGCACTGGTGGCTTGAAAGGCATCTTCCTTGCGTCTTCAGTGTGTGTTGAGTGCACATGCGCGTATACGCGCGCGCGCGCACATGCGCGCGCACACACACACACAAGTTATCTGCTCTGGCTTTGCAGTTAAGGGGCTTTGAATACTGTGCCATATTTGACACGATACTTGTTAATGCTCACAAAGTGCAGGGTCTCTGTGTCACAAGTGGTGGTGCAGGGTACCAGACCCTCCAGCCCTTCACCCATGAGCCACTTGCTGGTCTCCACTGCCATTTCACGAGGCACATGTTCCTTGGTCCATTTATCTACCCAGGCCTGGAACCTCTGATGCAGACGTTTGCTTACACGCTCATGAGACTACAAAAGAAAACAGAGATTATACGTAGGAACAAAAGAAACCCTTCCAAATACAAATCTGAATTTTAGCAAAGATGTGGTTCAACACAAACATTGCAGGGTTTTTTTGTTTTTGTTTTTTGGAGACAGGGTCTTTCTGAAGCCCCAGCTGGCCTGGCCTCAAGCTCACAGATACCTGAAGACGTGTACCACCATGCTCAGCTGCTGTTTTAAAGACTGGGTCTCACTATGTAACCTTGGCTGGAACTTCCTATGTTAGACCAGGCTGCCCTTAACTAACAGAGATCTGTCTGACTCTGCCTCCTGGAAAACTGAGATTGTAAGAAGTCTAGGCCATCATGCCAGGCTCTACTGTTTGTTTATTTTAAGGTAACAGAGATTCTGTTTCAAGAGAATTAAAAGAGGTGATAGAGCAGGGCATGGTAGCACACACCTTTAGTCCCAGTACTTGGGAGGCAGGCAGATCTCTATGAGTTGAAGGCCAGCCTGGTCTACGTAGTGAGTTCCAGGATAGCTGGAGCTACAGGGAGACCCTGTCTCAAAAAGACCAAAAAAAAAGTGATAGTCCAGAGCACTGGCTGCTCTTGCAGAGGACCCAGGTTTGATTCCCAGCACCCATACTGTGGCTAATAGTGGTCTATAACTTCAGTTCTAGGGGAATCCAATGCCCTCTTCTGACCTTTGGGAGCATTGCATGAAATGGGTGCATTTACACACATGCAGGCAATACACTCATAAAACAAAAATATTATTTAAAAAAAAAAACAAACATATATTTAGTTTTAGTTCCACAAATCTATGCTTTAAAAAATAATTTCTGGGCTCGAGAGACGGCTCAGCTGTTAAGAACACTGGTGGTTCTTGCAGAAGACCTGGGATCAATTCCCAGCACCCTCATGGCAGCTAACAACTGTCCATAACTCCAGTTCCAGGGCATCCGATGGCCTCTTTTGTCTTTGTGGGCACTGGACAACACAGATGTGCTTTCCTACATGCAGGCAATACACATAAAATAAAAATAATAAAATAAAAAATTTCTTTGCAGGGCATGGTAGTGCACACCTTTAGTGCCAGCCCTCAGGAGGCAGAGGCAGGAGGATCTCTGTGACTTCAGGCCAGTTGGAGTACAGGGAACTAATTTCTTTTTGTTTTGAGGAGGAAGTATCTTGTTATGTACCCGTAGATGTACTGGCACTCTGTAACCCAAGCTGGCCTTTGACTCATAGCAATCCTCCTGTCTCAGCCTCCCAGGCTAGGATTACAGATGTATAGCACCACACATGGTATATGCAGTGTTAGGGATTGAACCCAGGGCTCTGTGTATGCTAGGCAAGTATTCTAACAACTGAGCTATATCCTAGCCAGAAATGTGCATTTTAAACCAGCAATTTAGCTGATCCTGACTCCCGATGAGATACAATGAGCCAAAGTGTACAGCATGACTACCTGTTGTTAAGTCAGTTCACCATTACCCCCCAGTCAACAGAGATTCAATAGAGGTTGTGTTCCCACTTAATGCACCTGGTAAATATTTACTGGTGCCCATAAGCAAAGCCTGAAAGGGAGAGAAAGACAAAATCTGTGTTGCCCAGCTCTCTGAAAAATCCAAACTGGGGACAAGAAGATATTCCATAACAACAGCCATATTTAGTACCATTAAAGAAGTTAAATGATGCTGCTCTCCATTGCTATCTTGAATTGTCTATAGTCCTTAATCTTTTCTGAGACAGGGTCTATGCAGCTCAGGCTAGCCTTGGACTCTCTTCCTGCCTCAATGGGGTAACAGGTGAATGTCACTATGCCTATCTATAATACTGACATTATAATACTGAGAAATAGAGGTCTCCACTTAAATTCTAGAATGGATTCAAATGGAAGCTCTAGGACAATTTTATTAAGAGTTTAAAACAAAAATCCACAAGGCAGGCAAGCTGTAAATCTCAGCAGCTGCCCAAAGAATTGAGGGGAGAAGGAAAAAAAGCTATACAATTTAAACAGTGAGGAGGTTAGACATATGGCAGAGGAGTAAAAGAACATACTTATGCAACTATATGACTATGGCCTGTAAATAACTGCATTAAAAAGGGCAGGAATTCTAGGTAGGACAAAGTACATTATTTCATTAAAACACTAATTATCCCACCTATTTCCTTAGCATGGTTTAGGGTAAACCCATCTTCCCAGGGGTGGTCTCTTGGCCAGCTGACTGACCTGCCCAAACTGGAACGTTAGGTTTTCACCGGGACCAGAGTTTATTCCATTGACCAGAAGGAGTTTTCTCACCACAGATCTTCATTGCTATGGTCATAGTACTTTCAAACTTAACCAGTTCAGTGCTTAATCTGGTTTTCAAAAGCTAGTAACCTCTTCCTATCAACACACATACCCCTAAAATACCAGAATGAACCAGGAGGTAGTCTTGGTGTCCTCTGCCTTACCTCCACATTTGATCTGTATCATCACATATTGTCACTTTATCACTAGATATTATCTACAATCAATTTTTAAAATTTGACTTTCATCCTACTAGTGTGAGTGCCCATCACATCTCATTTGGACAAAGAGACCCTTTGGGGTAATCTTTCTCCCTGAACCACACCCACACTTGTTCTTTGCATCACAATCTAGGAATCAGGTAAAAAAATATCCCAATGAAAGCCAGGCTTGGTAGCTCATGTAGGTAAGCTCAGCACTCAGGCAGGAGGACTGCTTAGTTTGAGGATAGTCTGGCTATAGAGTGAGTTCCAGCTCACCTTAGATTGCAGTGTGCAATCTCAAAAATAAACACAAAACAATGGTGAAGAAACCCACACAGTGGAAGAACTAACTCCTAGAAGTTGTCCTCTGATCTCCACATGAGCACTGTAGCACATCCATGTTCACTCATATAAAAGCACACATGCACATGTTTAAAAAGGGGGACAGGGGCTGGAGAGATGGCTCAGTGGTTAAGAGCTCTGACTGCTCTTATAGAGGACCACGGTTTGATTCCTAGCACCCATATAGTGGCTAACAACTGTCTGTAACACCAGTTCCAGGAGATCGGACACCTTCTTCTGACCTCTGTGGGCATTACACAACACAGATGCACGTAAACTTGGAGGCAATATACTCATACACATTAAATTTTTTAAAAAAGTAAATAAGATATTGTTCTTTAAAAAAAAAAAAGAAAGAAAAGAAAAGAAAAACCTGAAACAAAATCCAGAATCCAAGCATGACTTCTGAGGCTAAAGGATGTAGCCTCCACTGCTCTTCCAAAGCACATTCTGCCTTCTTTGTGGCGCTGCTCTTGAACCACTAATCACCCTCTTCACAGTTCTCACTAACATGTCTTCCCCTCCTTCCCAGTCTTGCACTTGTATTCTTGTTACAGACAATACTCCCAACTCTTCACTGTGCTGGTTCCCTATCACTGTTTAAGCCTCAAGTATCATGTACTTCTTAAAGCCTCCACCAACAAAACGAAGGCCTACATGTTGGATACCTTGACCCCTGTATTTCCTTGGAGGTGCGTAACAGCACACATTTGCCTTACTTTGTAGCTGTATGCCAGGGCCTGGCACACACATCCTACATAACAACTTAAGAATTGAGATAGCACATGAAAACAGGGAGGTTCCACACAAGCAAAAGATGACAGAGATACCATTTGAAATATAAATAATGGGAATAGCTTTTTCAGAAGGCACCACCAGGTATTATTTACCTGCTCTCATGGGGTAAGCTGTACCCCATACTCCTACATTGAGGTCCTAACCCCTAGTACTTACAGAATATGACATTATTTGCACATACAAGAGAAAACCCACAAATGACCCAGGAACACTGAAACAGCAAAGCACCAAAAGCTGTGCTCCCCATTAGGGCCCTCAGAAGAAGCCACATGAATCTTGGGGTTTTAGTGGTTCAGAACCTCAAGACAGTTGTGAATGCAGAGGAAGATGGGAGTAGGAGATTGATCCTAAGGCCTTAGGCATGTTAGGCAAATGTTCTACAATTCGGCCATTTATCTCCAATAATTTGTATTCTTTAAGTCATGAAGTCTATGGTACCCTGTTACAAAATCCTTAGCAAACAAGTACGCCTGTTTCCTCAACAACTGTTTATTCTAAGAAAAAGTACTTATAAAGGAAGTATTTTGAGTAGACCTCCTCCCATCCAGTCTGGACAGGATAAAGAGAAATGACAGCCACTGATTCTTACCTGATGAGCTCTGAGTAAAGCGGTCCTCCGGTACATGTAATCTTCTGACTTGATCACATACACCATCTTATATGAATTCAGCTTGAATCTACACTCTAGCTTATCCAGGCTATCCACATTCTCCATGGTCTTCTTGCTGTTTCCTTCTTTCCCTTCTTTTTCCTGCTGTTCTCGACCACGCTGACACTTCCGGATCCGCCGCAGATTCCTACAAAGCAGAAGGTCCTTTAGGGTAAGAGTCTATCTCCTGCAACTCCAGCAGGTGAGTTCTTCTATAACCTCGAAAATACCACAATTTTAGTTAGACATACATACAAATGTGCAATGGCTTCAATAACGAGGACTCAACCTGGATCACACTATGTACTTAATTCTCAACTTTCACTTGTCTTGTAACAGTTGCAAAGTAATGTTCTCCAATTTATTCCCTGTCTCTCAACTGGGACTCCTCATCTAAACTATATAACACAGAAAATTATTTGAAAGCCCACTTTTTAATTCCTCCCAGAGATAGCCTATTAATATTCTACATATAAAAGAATGTAATTCACACTAATACATCCAGGAAAAGTGAGAGAAATGGTGCTTAGCATCTAAATATTTCCAATCTCCACAGCAAAAACATTATCAGCCCAATGTGGTGGCGCACGCCTTTGATCCCAGTACTCAGGAGAGGCAGAGGCAGGCAGATGGATTTCTGTGAGTTCCAGGCCAGCTGGGGCTATAGGGAGACCCTGTGCCAAATAACAACAAAAACTATATTATACTCCACACTTTGCTTTTAAAAACAAGCTGAGTCGCCAGTTAAAAGCACTCAGGAGGAAGATACAAGATTAGGACTTCCAGGACAGTCTGGGTTACAGGGCAAGATCCACTCTCAAAACAGAAACAACCCATTGCTTCACTGGGTATCTGTATATGTGATCTCTATAGGATAGTAATTCTTAGGTCAAGGACCCTTGGAGATCTCCTAAGACCCTTCTAGGAGCACCATGAGATTCAAACTCTTATTTTACTTGCCCCTTTACACACTGACATTTGCAGTGGCAGTGTAAAAGGAATGGTGAGAAGGTGAGGCACAGGAATGCAGGCCTGTAACCCCAGGACTCAGGAGGCTGAGGGAGGACTAAGAGTTGGAGGCCAGTCTGGGCTACCACGATATCCTGGTTTTTGTTGTTGGGGGGTGGGGGGGCAGCTGCATGTTCCTGCCCCTATGCCTTCCCCACCATAATGATCTATATAATTTTTTAAAAAATATTTATTATTTTTATCTTATGTGTCTGAGTGTATTGCCTGCATGTATGTGAGTGCACCCATGTTGTGCAATGCCGCAGAGGTCAGAAGAAGGCTTCACTTCCCCTGGAACTGGAATTAAGGAAGGTTCATAGTCTCCATGTGGGTGCTAGGAATCAAACCCGGGTCCTCTGCAAGAGCAGTCAGTGCTCTTAACCACTGAGCTATCTCTCCAGCCCTCTATATCCTTTCTTAAACCATGAAATCCCATCTTAAACTGTGAGACAAAATAAACTCTTCCTTAAATTGAAAATAAGTAAATAAAAGTAATGGTGAATAAAAATGCTGCTGGTGGGCTGGAGAGATGGCTCAGAGGTTAAGAGCACACTGCTCCTGGATAGGACATGAGTACAGTTCCTACACCCACATCAGGAAGCTCAGAACCACCTGTAACTACAGGGGGATCTACTGCCTCTAGCCTAAAAGGGTACATGCACTCAGTGTGCACAGATGCATACATATTAAAAAAAAAAAAAAAAAAACCTTAAAAAAAATGCTGC